AAAACGACAACAGTAATGTGAAATGACACAATTAATATAAATTGACTGTATTGACTGAAGCCTTTTTTCTTGCGTTTTTAGTCAACGGCGAGTATACTTTTTACTTCTTCATTACTCAAATCACCCTTACCAGTTTGCCTTGCCAACACATCAACCTGTGTAAGTATAAATCATTTGTTCCACTTAGATTTATGCATTCACTTTTTTTATGTGGATATCAGTACTTGGATCAATTCACTCTTTAACAATTTCGCCAAAAACTTTCGATCAAGATCACAGTGTACGATATCACTCTTCGCTCAACATAATTATTTTTTATGGAAACTTTTTTTTTGTATTGACCAAAGTAGATTTATCTTTTTTCTATGATAATTTTGAGATTTTTCAAATATATACATTACATACAGTACACTTGGCACTTTGATTGATGATGCTAATGATATATGTATTGTAAAATTTCAGAGATGTCATAATATCCAAAGGCTGGGTATCGGGGAGATACTAGTCACGATATCCGTCAGAGTGGATACGCAAAAAGGATACCCTATCTTGTAAAGTTGAGGATTTTGAGTGAATTTGGTGTAACGAGATGGACACCCAAAACGGATACCCTATCTTCTAAAGCAGAGGATTTTGAGTGAATTTGGTGTAACGAGATGGACACCCAAAATGGGTGTGTTTGTGTGTGTGGGTGCGGGTGTGGGGTATCGGTGTGGCTGTGGATGTGGGTGAGGTGCATGCAGGGGGTCCCATTAGTGTTAGCATTAGCATTAATTAATGCTAATACTAATGCTTTGGCATTAATGGCATTAGTGTTAATTAATACAAGGTATTAGCATTAATTTAGCATTAATTCTTAATGCTAATGCCTCCTAGTTGTGCCTATCAGTCTGAAATTACATGGGACGCTACTAGCATCACCTGGGAAGCCTCTAGCATACCTGGAATGGTATTACATTCGCCTGGGATGCTAATAGCCTCACCTTGGTAGCATCTAGCAGTCCATGGATGCTATCAGCATCACCTGCGAAGTCTCTAGCATTCCTGAGATACTGCTAGCAGTTCTCAGATACTACTAGCATCACCTGACATCCTATTAGCATCACCTAGCATCCTAATAGCATCACCTGGCATCCTATTAGCATCACCTAGCATCCTAATAGCATCACCTGGCATCCTATTAGCAGCAGCTGGGATGCGTTTACATTCCTGGGGTGCCACAAGTATCATCTCCGATGCTTCCAGCGTTCCGGATACTATTAGACTCACCCCTAATTCTAGTAGCACCACCTGGGAAACCTCCAGCATTCCTTGAATGGTACTAGCAGCCCTCGGATGCACCTAGCAGTCCTGGGATGCTACTAGCGGCCCTCGGAAGCTACTAGCAGTCCCAGCATGCTCCTAGCATTCTTGGCAATTTCGGTGCCATTTAAAGCAACGCTAGAAGCATTCCAGGTGATGCTACTAGAAAACTAGGAGTGCCAGTAGCATCTCATGTAATTTCAGACTGGTAAGCACAACTAGGAGGCATTAGCATTAAAATCAATGCTAATTTCATCCTAACACCCTGCATTAATTAATAGTAATGCCATTAATACGAAACCATTAGTGTTAATGATAAATGCTAATGCCAAAGTATTAGGATTAGTATTACATTAATGCTAATGCTAACACTAATGCGACACCCCTGTCCACATCCATACCCACACCCACCCATTTTGGGTCTCCATCTCGTTACACGAAATTCACTCAAAATCCTCAACTTTTGAAGGTAGGGTAGCCATTTTGGATATCCATCTCGTTACACAAAATTCACTCGAAATCCTCACTTTTTAAGGATATGGCGATGTTTGAGAATCTCGATACCCGAGTTTCGGATATTATGACATCCCTCTGAAATACAGATTTTTAAATCATTTAATATCTAGCCCATGATATTATAGGTTTTGTGACCATGGGAATTATAGATTTTCTGAGCATAAAATTTCGAATTTTCGGACCTGGATGTTCAGAATTTGGTTATGATATAATCTTTGGGTTTTTAGTCATTGGATTATGAATTTTTCGACCATACTATTTTTGTTTTGTCGACGATGGTATTGTGGATTTTCGATCCTATGGATGTAGGATTTTACAGGCACGAATTTCTGGATTCGGCGACTGTAGAATTATGAAATTTCGGTCCACGATATTTGCCGTCTTTTAGTCTAGAAACAAGTGAATCAAGATCCGATGAATGTTCCCTGTAAATAGTTTTTTTGTTAAAGTGACTGCCAGGTACTTTTGATTATGTGGTCTTCGGACAGTTCCTTAGCTGCTGAGCACATATACAAAAAGAAAAAAAAACAGACCATATCATCTTCAGAATCTTCAACAATATTCGTCAAGAATATATATGATTACGAGTTTTATTTATATAATTAGATTATTCAAAATATTAGTTTTTTAATACACTGTAGTTATTTTTCATGTTAATTAGTAATTACCAGTCTTCATGAAAACTATAGGTAAGCATATTTTACGTTGTTACTTACACAAAATATTTACTGTTAACTGTTCATACATAAGCGATTTCTCGATCTATTAGAGGCTAAAGAAGATGAAGTGATTAAATAAAGAATATTGACAAAGTTTTTTGCGCATAATGTTTCTATGAAATAAATTCTTTTGTTAATTCACAGGAAAACTACTTGTTTATACTCGATTAAATTTGATGATTAATCTATGAAATTCATTGTAATATATAAAATGTGTTTTGAAATGCTAACGAGAAAAGCTTTTATTATATATGAAATCCAAAGAAAACCATTATATTTTCAATTTTTCACATAATGAAACGACTAGATTATTTATTGTTTTCACATCACAACATTGAATAACAGACAACAAAAAGCTTTTTATTGCGTTTTATTTAAAATGCATAGTGTGAAATTTTTATTATTCAATTTATAATAAGAAACTAACGATGCATTGATAAAGTTCGATGGTATACAACATAAAATGGTATATGTATTTAAGTGTCGTAGAATTTTTTTTATTTTAAAATTGTTCATGTTTTGTTGGCCACCCATTTGGATAATAATAAGATGTAGTTTGAGTTGTTGGATTATTATTAAATTGTTCTCCCATTGTTTGTTGAATTGATACTGATGAATCTGATTCTAATAATTTATCGATTTCTTGTGTATCATCTATAAAATCAAATAGTGATGTTGCTAATTTTGTATCCAGTGGATTAGTTAAACTTCTAAATGTTAATTCAATAAAATCAGGTTGATGAGTAATTGTATTAAAAAATGATTTGATTTCAAGTGTCATTAGTATTGAAGTTTGTAAAGTTGGATGTATAAAATTACATGTTATTGTTTCATTTGTAGATGTTGTTATCGAACGTAATAAAGCTTGATGTACATGTGCTTGTTCATTGGTATGTATAAAATCTAATATAGATTTTTGACGAAATAAATCATATGATATGGATGGTAATGTTGATACTGAACGATCAACAAGAAAAATTTTCCAATCATTTGGTGAACAACGACAACAAAATGTGCACAACTGAGGATTTTTATAAAGGCGCATATTTGTTTCACTATATTTTGTTATTAATGGTAAATGACATATACCAACAAAAGCAGGAAAACCTGATGTATTTGCTGCTTGTACAGGTTTTAATGAATTATCAATTCTTTTCGTCATACCATCAATAATAACAGATGAATACGTATCATTATTACCTTGTTTTAATCGGCATTCAAGATGAATTGTCATTCCCATGCGTTGATTTAATGCCGTAAGTTGACTTCGATAACGTATAAAATCATCAGGATGTATAAATGAGAGAAAATTTTGTCCAAGCCATTGCTCACATGTAACATTTAATATACGATTTATTGCATCAGTGACGTAAATTACATGAAATGATGATGGTTCAACAGTAGTTACAAATAAAAATGAATTACTTGCTTCAATTGTTAAAAAGTTTAATTCATTATCAGTTAAATTTGATGGACGTAATGGATCATTTTTATGTCGTAAATTCATTTTAGATATTTCCTCAGCAGCTATTTTAAGTAAATCAAGATGATGAAGTTTTGTTGATTTTGAATCATTTCGATTTGTAATTAACATTGATAATTCTCTAAAATGTGCTTTTTCTAATGCTCGTCGATGTGCTTCAACTAATGTATGTTTTTCACGTTTACGTGCAACATTGTCGGTATCTTCATCGTCATCATTATCATCCGAACTTCCTTCTTCAGCTGATGTTGTTATTTTACCACTTCTACCAGATGATAAATTTCGAGAAAAATCAGTTGATTGACGAGAAAGTGTTGGATATGATGCATCAGAATAATTACTGTTATCACTATAAATTGATGCCGGTGAATAACTTACATCAGTATCCGTTGTTGCTTTACGTTTGTTTGATCGAGTTACACCTGATGATGTTGATGGAGATATTGTCGATGTTTGATTTGCACCTATTGGAGTGGATGAAGATAATCCAAAAATATCACTATCAATTGATGCATCAGGTGCATTTGAATGAAATACATCTTCTATTGGATAAGAATTATATTCAGAATAAAATTGTAGTGGATTTTGCATTTGTTATAATATCTAAAAGAAAAAAAATATAAGAACGATCACTGTATGAGGTAGTAAAATTTATAAGAACAGAATGATGTCGCCTACACAGGTGTGCATGATTTTCTACCATTATTTGTGCACTACTTTGTCATTTGCACGTCGAACGTCAATAATAAAACCTGTTTTTTTCTTCTTGTCACATCTATCGTCGTTATTTTTTTTCTATTCCTACCTTCGTATTTGAGTATTTCAACGAGACGACAACAAACGGAAGTTTTTTTTTTCTCACATATTTACCTGCAATTTTTTTTTTCTTACTGTTATTCTTAGGACTTTTTTCCTCTTAAGTTAAGCTAATTTTATCACATAAGGAACAGAACGAAGAAAAAAAACTTCTATATGACTAATTAGTTTATTTGCCAGTAACTAAAAAATAAAAATGAAAATAATATTGTCAATATATGAGTCGTTTGAAAATTAGCTTGATTACAACCATCCATTGTACATAATGATATTGTTCCTTGCATTTTGATACTACCTGGAATATCAGCAAAATTTTTTAAACGAAAATTTCCTGTTGAATCAGATGCTCGTGTTGAACTCATAATATTTTCAGTAATACATGTTCGTAAATAAAGATTTGTATGAATTAATGAACGATTAAGATTTCGATCAATATCAACAATAATACCAGAAATTTTAACACAAAATCTTGCAGGAAATAAACCATTTTTACCTTTTATTGTTGCTTGACATTCATGTTCATAACGATTATCTATCGAATTGAATGGATCACTACATGTATCATTTAGAAAATTTGTTGTCATACATTTAAAACATGATAATGAATAAATATTATTAATAAAACATAAAATAAGAATAAGTATAGTAAACAAAAGCATGATTAAAAAATTTTTGAAATAATTTTCTGTTGTCTTTATATTTAATGATTTCTCTATGTTCGTTTGCTGACTTATTATTCGACTACTTTTTTTGTTTTTGCTTCTGAGTTTTTTTCTACTTCTACGCCGATCTTATGCATGTCATGTTCATAAAGAACTAACTAATAATATTCAAGAGTTCTTGTTCCAAAGTAATATTATCTATAATTATTGTTTTTTCTTTTTTTCTTGTTGATGTAATATGATGACATGCATATACTATCTAAGAAACAAAAAAAAAAAAGCTCAACATCTTTTCTTTTGGTGATCTCATGAGAATTGCATGTTTCTATCAAGCAACATTGTTGTCAATTACAATCGAAAGGAAAAAGATCAACCTAATAATATTCTTAAAACAAAGAAAATAAGAATTGTGCATTTTTCCATAAATATTTTTTTTTTGATGTGCAGTTCTTGTTCTCGATGGTCAAATATCAATAACGTTATCTTTCTTTTCTATTCATTAAAGAATAGAAAATAGTCGATTTATTGTCAAATAAATGTTGATTCCGTTGAGGACAGTAAAAACAAAGGTCTTTTTTTTTTATAGACATATATGTGTTATAAAAGATTTCTAAATTTAAGATAATTGAAAAATATATTGAAATGATTGTTATGCACTGGTCGGATAGATTAAAATATCTAATAAATGATTTATAAAATGAAAATAAATCAATTCTAAGACAAGAAAATTGATGTTATGAAAAATCTTGCAATTTCATGTATTAGTAATTCCGTAGAATTTTGTTTATGTTGAAAATTAGACGAACCGATTAAACCAAGTAAGTTTTTGTCGATTTAAATGTAAAAGAGTGAATAGTTTTTTAAGAAAAATTCAAAACATTAAATTCATTTTATTATTTCATTATTCAACTTTTTAAATTTCTTATCGAAACTTGTTTTATATTGATTTTAAGCTGCTTTCAGAAATAATTTAAAAAGTTCTATATTCATAAGCTTTATGAAAATTGAAAAATCTTTTTGAAATTTACTTAAATTTCAATTAATTAAAGAATATTACCATTGTTCATATTTGAACTTAAAAAACCACTGTATCTGTTTATTCAAAAAAATTATTCTCAGATTTCTCTTTAATCCGTAACATGAGAAATATCCGCACAATTTGTTATATGACCCACTTAATAAACTATTGCATAGATAAATTCTTTATTTATATATTTTTATTATCTGTTAAATTGGATACTAGAATAATAGTGGGAATTCTATAGGTTTTATGATTTGCTGTTAAAACATTTTCACATGAAATAAAAAATCAATGAATGAAATGCTCTTATTTATTTTAAGATATTCATGATTTGTGAGTTACAATATTAAAATAAACACTATCGAATATATTTACCTGCCTTTATAAGACTAAATCGGTTGGTTCTTTCTTTTTGTTATATTAATAAACGAATGAAATAAAATCTTACAAGATCCTACATGAAACTAGTTGTTTATTCATAACAATAAATAAATGAAAGTTTTGAAGAAATAATATTAAAACTTATATTCGCTATTTGTAGAATGAATTTAATTATATACTAGGTTATAATACACAAATCTATCAGATAAATTTACAATCTAATGATAACATTATGGAGATTTGATTGAAAAAAAGAGGCATGTTCAGATTTCCAAAAAAAGGAAATTACCCAAATTTCTGAAATTTCTATCAGCTCGATAACTATATAGCAGTACAAATCAAAAGTTTTTAGACATACTGGAAATTTCCAAAATTTTAGAAATTTTTGTAAGTGCATAATTGCAAAAATTTCAGAAATTACATCATTTTAGGAAATAACGTAAAATTCAGAACACAAATACTTGAAATCTCCGAAACTTCTGAAATTTTCTTTTTTGAAAGCCTGAACACTGTTAAAAAAAATAGAAGTGTACGTGTCAGAAAACAAAATATATTCTTCTTATGGGATATTTCATAGTAGTGTACTAAGATTTTTTTCACGAATATAAACTTAAACATTTATTCGCTATACCAAAGTTAATTTTTTTATCACAAGTTTCTCTACAAGTAACTATTCCACTAGAATACTTTTACCAATGATTGTTATCTAGCGTCCTCTATAATAAAACTTTAATCGACAAATAACATGATAAAGTTCCATCCAATACGAACATTTCATGTTCATACATCATTTCTATTTATTTGTTTTTCAGTAACTTATAGGTCGATTATTTTCTAATTACGACATTAACTTTCTTTTGTTAGATTGTTAAAAAAAAAGAGTTTGTAATCATGGTACGAGTAACAATTAAAGGTGGTGTTTGGCGTAATACAGAGGTATGAATTCTTTTTTTTATAAATCAATAATCTTTTTCAAGCTGCTATATTGTTTTTTTTTCTTAGGATGAAATCCTCAAAGCAGCCGTGATGAAATATGGCAAAAATCAATGGTCACGAATAGCTTCTTTACTTCATCGAAAATCATCTAAACAATGTAAAGCTCGGTGGTATGTAAATTAGAATTATGAATAAAGAAAACTATCTGGTCTATATTGTTATTCCTAGGTTCGAATGGTTAGATCCATCGATTAAAAAAACCGAATGGTCACGTGATGAAGATGAAAAATTATTACATATGGCAAAATTAATGCCAACACAATGGAGAACAATAGCTCCAATTGTTCAACGTACGGCTGCTCAATGTCTGGAACGTTATGAATATTTACTGTATGTTTTAAGAAGCTAAAATATTTGTTTTTTTTTTTTTTATAATTGATTTTCTTTATTTAGTGATCAAGCTCAACGTCGTCGTGAAGGTCTTGATGAAACAGTTGATGATCCACGTGCATTACGTCCTGGTGAAATTGATCCAAATCCAGAAAATAAACCAGCAAGACCCGATCCAATTGATATGGATGAAGATGAATTAGAAATGCTTTCTGAAGGTAAAAATTAAACTTTATTTTATTAAAAAAAACTTTTTTTTTTGAATGATTTTGTTTTTAGCTCGTGCTCGTCTTGCAAATACTCAAGGTAAAAAAGCTAAACGTAAAGCACGTGAAAAACAACTTGAAGAAGCACGACGTTTAGCATCATTACAAAAACGTCGTGAATTACGCGCAGCTGGTATTGAAGTACGTCGTTATTTTAATAGAAAACGTGGTGTTGATTATAATGCCGAAATTCCATTTGAAAAATTACCAGCTATTGGTTTTTATGATACAACAAGTGAAATATTTGGTGCTGAAAAAATTGATTTTAAACGTTTACATGTTGATAATAGAAATTTAGCTGCTAAAGAAGAAAATGAACAACGTGATAGAAAAAAAGATAATGCTAAATTAAAACGTAAAAAAGAAGATGATTTACCAGCTGTTATTATGAATGAAAATCGTCTTGAACCAATAAAAAAACGTTCAAAATTAGTTTTACCAGCACCACAAATAAGTGATATGGAATTAGAACAAGTTGTTAAATTAGGACAAGCTACAGAAATAGCTAAACAACAAGTTTCAGAAAATGGTACTATAGCTACAGAAACATTACTTGGTGATTATAATTTAACACCGGATTTAAATAAAATTCGTACACCACAATTACCTTTAACACAAGATAGTGTACTTAATCAAGCACATAATCTTAATATATTATCAACTGTACAAACACCATTATTAGGTGGATCAAATACACCATTAATGGATGTTAGTAATGAAAAAACAAGATCAGGAACTGGATTAATTATGTCAACACCAAATACTTTATTTAATACACCTTATCGAACACCATCAAATGTAACAAATGAAGGAATAACGCCATCAATACATGGACCACCAACAGATGTTAATGCTGGTTCAACATCTGTACGTGATCAATTGAATATTAATGCTGAAGAAATGGTATTTGATGATCAATTAAAACAGGTTAGTTATAAGAGAAATATGTATAGCGCTGCTGTCTTCAAAGGATAAAGTTGCATCAAATCATATATTATAGGTTCTCCTAAGACGTTTTATTTTTTGAATTACATTTATAAAATAAATGAAATCTAAGAAAAATTCCAAAATGTAATTTTTGAAAAATTGACCGAAAGTTTTGACTCGAATACTTATGACTCCTGAATAATTAAATCTAAGACTTGCACAGTTTTGTAGATCTTGCATTAGCGATTTGGATGCATATCAGATAATTAAAAACCACATCGACAAAAACTTGTAATATAAAATTCGATACATCTTCATCTGTTATTTCAAAAAAATTTTCAACTATCTTTTTGAAATAAGCATTAGTAACAATTTAAGATTTGTCACGGTCTCAAAAAAAAATCAATGAACCATTGATAAAATACGAGGAAAAATCATATCTCTTTTTTTTTTTAGAAGAAAATAAAAACTAAACTGAAATGTTTTCGTTTTATTTCTTCTAGCGTGAAGTTAAACAACAATTACGACATAATCTATCACGTTTACCAAAACCAAAAAATGATTATGAAATTGTTTTACCAGATACAACTGATCAGACAAATGATGATGATCAAATGGACACTATAAATATTAATGATGAAGATCAAGCTGATATTGATCAACGTAGACGTGAAGAAAAACAACGTAAACGTATGATAAATATAATTCATAATTTCTTTTCATATGAAACTTAGTTTTTTTTTTGTTTTATTTCTGTAGAACGAGAACATTTTAAACGACAAACACAAGTTGTTCAACGAAATTTACCTCGTCCAAATGATATTAATCTTACTATACTTCGTCCAGCAAATGCTGAAGGTCCTATGAGTGATTTTCAAAAAGTAAGAATAATTCTTTTTATTTTTTTTTTGTTTTTCATAAATTCTTTTTTCTTAGGCTGAAGAATTAATAAAACAAGAAATGCTTGTTCTTCTTCATTATGATGCATTAAATAATCCCGTACCCAATAGTTCTACTAGTCGTAATAAAGATTTTCCTACTTATCTTGATACACATCCATATGAAGAATTTACAGATGATGATCTTGCAACAGTAATTATATAATTGAATTATTCATTTTCAATATATTTAAAATATTCTTTTTTTTTTTTATTATCAAGGCTCGTGCATTACTTGAATCAGAAATGAATGTTGTTAAAAAAACAATGAGTCATGGTGACATAAATCTTGATATTTATTCGAAAGTATGGGATGAATGTTATTCACAAGTTTTGTTTTTACCATCAAAAAATCGTTTTACTCGTGCAAATGCAGCTAGTAAAAAAGATCGAATTGAATCAGCTGAACAAAAACTTGAAGTATGTTATTTATATTTCTATTTAAAATAAAAAAAAAACAAACATAAAATATTTATCTTCTAGCTCAATCGTAATTTAATGGCGCTTGAAGCAAAACGAGCAGCAAAACTTGAGAAAAAACTTAAAACATTACTCGGCGGTTATCAAGTAAGTTTATAATAAAATATTCATAAATTTTTCTTAATCTAATTTAATTTAGTCTCGTGGTCAAGCACTTATTAAAGCATTAAATGATGTGTACGAACAAATTGATCAAACTCATGTAGAAGCTAAAACGTTTGAATTACTTCGTCAAAATGAAATATTAGCTATTCCAAAACGTATTGAAGTAAGAGATATAAGATTAAAAATTTTTATGAAAATTATTTTCTATATTTGTTTTTTTTTCTCTTATAGTCTTTTACCGAAGATGTTGCACGACAAGAAGAACGTGAACGTGAACTTCAAGGACGCTTTCAAGAATTATACGAAGAACGAGATGATTTGTTAGAATAACAATAAAAAAGAAAAACAATATATGTACTCTTTTTCTTTTTGTATAAATATTATTCTTTTTTTTTGTTTTCCCTCATAAATATTAAACTAAGAAAACTAGATTTTCAGATATTTTTTCTTTATACACTATGGTTGATTCTGAACTTGATGCACTTCGTGCTAAACGTTTAGCTGAATTACAACAACAACAACAACAGCATGTAGGTCAACAACGACCTATGATATCCAATCCTAATGATCAAAATTCAGCTGAAGAACAACGACAAAAACAAGAAGATATGCGTAATACAATGTTAAGTTCATTATTAACACAAGAAGCACGCGCACGTTTAAATACAATTTCATTAACTAAACCAGAAAAAGGACGTATGGTTGAAGATATTCTTATACAAAATGCTAGACGTGGTGCATTTGGTGGTGGAAAAGTAATAGAATTATATAACAATTGAATAAATACATAGATGATTTTCTTTAGGTTACTGAAGAACAATTAATTGGACTTTTAGAACAAGTTAGTAAAGCAACAGAAAAAACAACAAAAGTCAATGTAAGAACTTAATCTTAAATATGAACAGAAAGAAATAAGAAAATTGTAGATAAATTACAAAAATATTCACTATAAAGTTCAGATCAAGCTTTGAAAACAGAAGAAAAAAAAATCTGCATTAAACTTTGTTCGTCGGAAAGATTTTATTTTGTGCTTAATTTCAAAATTTTTTGTAAATGAATAAATTCATATTCAAGTTCTATGTTCTATCATTATTTGATTGTGTAGAGATTCATGAAAAACAAAATACTCTCTTGCTTATGTTCATTTTTTTTTTCGGTACCTAATATGAAATGATATGCAATACTTATGGAGATTCCACACTTCCGGATGTTAAAATCCAAAATTTTTCGATTTTTGATTTTTCATTGCTGATATAGCTTCGGAATGTTCTCTGTCAAATGACATATAAATGAAGACTTTCCGTCTTTAGTTAGTACTTTTGTTAAATTCAACTTTCGAAATTCCTAGCAGAAAAAATTGCATTGCGGTTATTATTTGTATGCAAAATTTTCTTAATGATAATCTCTAAAGGTGCTGAGAACATGGGTCATAGATCTCTAACACCGCCACTATTCGATCGTTTTAGTTGGAGAAAAAAGTTCTGATACATATACAGGAAAGTCTGTTTTTGTGTTTTTCTCCAAAATGTTGTTCCTACAAGACTCGACAGCATTAAAAAAATTAGTACCATTGAAAAAAATACTTTTTTTGACGATATTTCCCGGATTTTGCTTCTCCTGAGCTAAGAAAAAGAAAAACACGCACTCCTATTCAATTCTAGTTGTCATAAAAATGTTGCAACTTGAAATAATGAAGTATAGAGTTTTGTGATATAACTCTTGCTCTACCTATCGAGATCTATTTGTCTTGAAAATTTCATCATTTGTCATTGAACCGTTCTTGGGTTTGTGTCTTTTTTTTATTATTATCATATTTTAAATAACTATTTTTCATTTTAGTTTGATCGACGACGTGCTGCACTTGATTCTGATTCCGATTAGTTGAACTATTTCTTTCATATTTTATATCTTATCTTCTGTTTGAATGAATTGTTTACACACTTAGGATCATGTTAAATAAAGAACAAACAAACAAATTCAAATATTTCGTTTTATTTTTTTTCAAAATATAAACTTTTTTAATTTCTTTTCTTTTTAAGATAACATACTTGGCCTTGGGTTTTTTTTTTGAACTACAACAATGAAAATTTGGACATCACAACATATATTTGAGTAAGTCTTGTTTCATTTCGAATAATTCATAACTATTCATATTTCATTTGATAGTCATGACTGGGCAACAGTAGCGACTGCTGCATTAAATAAATATCCAAATCCAGTAAGTCCAAGTGTAGTCGGTTGTGATGTTGTTGATCGAACGATTAATTCATCCGGTGTTATTCATTCACATCGTCTTTTATTAGCCAATTGGGGTATTGCACCAGCATTAAATAAAATATTTAACATGAATGAACTTGGATATGCAAGTGAGCATTCAACAATTGATGCTCGACGACGTGTTATGACTGCACGAACAAGAAATTTAACATTAAATCGTTTTATTAGTATTGAAGAACGACTTGAATATACTGAACATCCAACTGATAGTTCAAAAACATTACTTAAACAAGAAGCAACAATTAATGTTGAAAAAGTTCCATTGACTAGTTATGTTGAAACACTTGTCGCAAAAACAATTAATACAAATGCGACTAAAGTATGCATGTTATATAAATAGTGTTTAATTATTAGTTATGTTTATATTTAGGGTCGTCTAGCTATGGAATGGGTTATTGACCGAATGCGTACTGTTCCATCATCAGAACCAACAGAACAATTAGCTTAATAAATATTTTTATAATTTTAGGCCATATATATGTTTTTTTTCAAATGTATGTGATTTTTCTAACATACTTTGTTTGTCTCCTCGGTACAGCGAATGAATTAGTGAAAATGAAAAGATGAAATCTTGACAATAAAAAAACAGTACCAAATAGAAATAGTTGTTGCCTTCTTCGACAATATTTTTTAGATATGATATAATACAAAATGAGTGAAAGTTGGTCAAAATTTCAAAGACAATCATCTATGACAGCTTCGCTGATTGGAAATCTATATGCGCCATCGAGTGGTATCCCTAGTGCGAATCGTAGTCGTCGACCATCATGGTCTGATGCTAAAGTATGAAAGATAATGTTTGATTTTTCATCTTTAATTTTGTTTTTTTATTTATAGAAAGTTTGGAATGTTGGTGATGAAGAAGATGATTATTCGGATTCACATACACAAATATTAAAAAAATTAGACACTTATTATCGTAAAATAAAACGTCAAATACTTGCATTTCAAAGTTTAACAACTGGCCTTTTTCCTAATCATCTTGAACCTGATAAAAAAGTTGGACATGTTGTTGAGAATGTTTTTTGTGCTATTGCTGTATGGTCATTGCGACAATGTTATTGTAAAATTGATAATGATCAAGGACGAGCACATGAATTAGGACAAGCAGCTGTGAAATGTATGCGTGGTATTCTTAATTGTTGGATGAGACAATCGAAAAAAGTAAACATTGAAATAATTAATTGTTTTTTTCTTTTTTATTATATACAAATAATTATATTTTTTAGGTCGAAATATTTAAAAGTGAACAATCACCAAAAGATGCATTACATTCAAGATTTAATGTTTTTGATGGTAGTGAAGTTGAAGGTGCAGATGAAGTTGGTCAGTTACAAATATGTGCTATATCACTTTATTTATTAACACTTGTACAAATGATTACATCGAATCTTCAAGTAAAAAAAAAAAGACAAACGAGATTTTTATGTAAATGTCTTTTTGTTTTGTTTATTTATTAAAGATTATTTTCTCTATGGATGAAGTAAATTTTGTTCAACAACTTGTTTTTGCTATTGAACGTGCTTATCGTACACCAGATTATGGCATATGGGCACGAGGAAGTAAATATAATACAAATACATGTGAACTTCATGCAAGGTAAGCAAAACAAAGAAGCTCGATAAAATATTTATAGTGCGTTTGTTGTTTTTTGAGTATAGTTCAATCGGCATGGCAAAAGCTGCACTTGAAGCTATGAATGGTTTTAATCTATATGGTGATAATGGAGCTAATTGGTCGGTAGTTTATGTTGATGTGGTATGAAATTGATAGATTGTTTATCAAAATTAAATAGAATTGAACGTTTTTGTTTTAGGATGCACATAATAGAAATCGAACTACATTTGATACACTTCTACCTCGAGAATCAGCATCTAAAGTAATCATCAAGAAAAAGAAATAGAAATTTTATTTAGTTGTTTGGATGTTTAGAATACTGATGCTGCTTTATTATTAACAGTCAGTTGGCCAACATTTGCTATTCATGATTCAACACTTGTACAAAATACAATTCGAAAATGTATGAGAAAATTACGAGGAAGACATGGTTTTAGAAGATTTTTACGTGATGGACAATATACAGATTTAGAATCCAAAGATCAACGATTTTATGAACCAACAGAAATGAAAGTCGGATCTTTTTCTTTTTTTTAAATTCATATCAATTTTTATAATTAATAGAAATTCGATAAAAATGAATGTGAATGGCCAACGTTCTTTGCATTAATGATTATTGATGGTAAATAAATAAAACTTTTATTTTTTTCTAGTTTAATCTAATGATAATGTCATTATGATGTTTTTTTTTCTAGGGATTTTTAAAAATAATCAAGCACAAGTCGGCGAATATTTAGCTGTATTAAATCCTCTATTACGACGAACAACTGAAGGTACAGAAAAAGAACATAAAATATAATTTTGTCATGGAAACTATTTTGAAAAAGCTTATCCTATATAAAATGAAAGAAAAAAGTTTAATACACTCCTTATTTTTTGTTAATTCTTCCTGAAGGATAACTTATTGAAAAGATTCAAATAGTAATTGCGATAGTACTCAGAGCGATTTGCAAAATTAAGATGGAATAATAGCTGAAAATTATGATCTAAATTACTTCCTTAAACACTTCAGACGCAATAATACTTGTATGAAATGTTTCTCACAGAGCGGAGACGTATCGTTTGAAAGAGTGAGTGCTACCAGTGCTCGAAACGAGTCACATTCTTATGGTTCGGCTCGGCTTTGGCCCGAACGAAACTTGTTTTTTTACACATTTGTCTTCTCAACAAAATTTATAGATCACTACAGTAGTTGTTTATGTACTGGGGAGAAAATACTCAGCCTTATTTTGAGTTTACTTAGCTTAGAATCGGGAACTAAAAATTAAATTAATATTCAAGAAGTTGAATTGCTTCTTAGGTGAAACAAACAAGAATATTCAAGATTTTAGAAATCCATAATGCTCGTTCTACATAGCACGATATCCTCTATAGTACCATGTCTTAATTGAGTTACACTCGTAGAAAATTCACCTCATTTCTCAGTGGAAATTTTTTTTTTGATTATTTTGACCATACAGTGAGCTAGCTAGTGGTCAAAAGTAATTTTTGAATAAGAAAAAAATTATTGATACCTAAAGTTTAAAGATGAGCCTCCCAATTTAATCGTTTAGAACTTTTTCGATCCGTCAATAGACTATGTTCTACTGTGCTCTAACTCACAATATCATCAACATCGTACGAACAATTTTCCATGGAATCCTGCACAAAATCCATAGAATTACTCTTTTTCCAGAGAATGGTAAACTTGCTATGAATTTGCTGCTTAATCAAAAGTGAAGGATTAGATAAAGTATTGTTTAAAGCTCCTGTGCTCGGTAGCGGCTTATTTTTGGCACATTTTTCTGCGAATCATTTCTGCTCGTTGATTAAAACCATCTTTGCCACATAGAACTTCGCAAGTAAACGAGAAATATGACTGGATTAAGCAATTATTCGAGTTGATTAGATTAGTTATATCTCCCAGAGACGTCAAAAATAAAAAAATCATGAGTTTTGCATCAAAAACACGAAAAATACTCCATTGTTGGTGATGAAATGGACATTAATTTTGACGTACTTCAAATTTATCGACTGCAAGCAACCTTTTAACGAAAGAAATGTAATGACTGTGATTTTGAACCAGAGTAACAGATTTTAATTGATGAGAATGGCCGCTTTAATCAATAAACTTGGAAATACACTAAAATGAGTCTTCGTCTCAGCATTTAAAATGATATTTATTTATTTTTCAAGTCACTGGATTGAAGCTTAGATACTTATTTTATCATAAAACGTTCATGATAATTTCGAGTTCTTAAAATAAGCATATAGTTTACTAAAAAGTTGAAGAAAAACAAAAAAAGTGTCGGGCCGGTCCGACTCTACAAAAAGCATGATTCGCTCGTCCCGTCCGACCCGACAAAAAAGTTTCATTGGGCAGTACCGGTCGGCCTATTTTAAACCATGAGTCATACTCTTAAAAACACACTAGTTTTTTTCAAATCTAATATTTTGTTTCATAGCTGATTATTTTTAATAAGTAGTACGTACTATGACCAGTTCTAAAACTCAGAAAATCGTATTATGATAATCTATTTTGAAATAATAATTACATACTTTTGTTCTATTTTTAATTTCCACTGGAGAAAATGTTTTCGTATAATAAAAACTAAAATATTTATGTTCCAAAAACTTTTTGTAGACCATTCTGAGGGACTACCGAAATCACTATCTGGATCTTTTCAAACAATTGTTGTTGAGAAAGAATCTAAAAAAAACGTGTACTAAACATTTTTCCTTCACTTTACATGGTGCCTGGTCGTAAGAGTTCGTTTGCTACTATTAATTCTGAATCCAGTTCACCAAGATCACATTTTAGCACTAAAAAGTAACAAGATTTATATTCATCACAAGATACTAGTATGATCATATCTTTTGTTAGTTATATAAATTGTGTATGAACGCTCCTATGGTTTTTTTTCCATTAGCTAACATGAAAAATTAACCATCCTCTCGTCCTTTAACTCAACCATTAATTAAAGGTAGCATTATTCGTCGTATATATTTTTTTTCTCTATTAGTAATTAATATTTGCTTATGTTAGATGAGTTTACTCTCTTTTGTTAATATGAAATATTATATGCATGAAATGCATCTTATCTATTGAATATTCATTTGAAATTTTTAGAATTAATTTTAAACGAATTAGAAAATTATTTTGTTTTATATAGGTGAAATGATGGTACATTATTATTATGTTGATCATTCAAAACAACAAAATAACACTCAAAGTGATAGTAGTGATCGTGGCGATAATCATCAATTACCATTTTCAAGTAGTGATGAAATTCTTCATGGAAATTTTTTCCTTTTTGGTCAAGCTATTTGGATTATTTGTCAATTACTTGGTAAGATTTATAAAAATAAATCTAAATGAATTTTAACGATATAAATGTGTACTGGCATTAATATTAAAAAAAAAGAAATTTCTTAGCATTATAAAGAGATAACTAACAAAATACGTGAGAACAAGTAATATTTGCTTCTAAAAATTTTTCATAATCTATATAGTTTTTTCTTCTTTTGGAGTTTCTGTCTGCTATAGTTTTTGCTATTCGATGATAAATATACTTTTTATTTTTTTTTCGTAACATTTTGATAAATTCAAAATGTAAATGTCAACGTTCAATTACTGTTTACCACAGAGATCATTTAAAAATCCATTTCGTAGGATAAATCTTCATTTTTCACATGCCACTCTCATCCTCGCGTGATGCTGTATGTGATTGAAGTACATGCCTAGAAATTGAGATTTATGGAAAGGAAAATTAGAAACCATTCTTCTGTTAAACATGTAACCAATTCTATACTGTGACTAATTGTCACGTTCCTTCCAATAGTCTATGATACATTTTGTAGTAGATCTTGATAGTTTATGATGGATCTTAGGAAATTCTAATAGAAACTAAATAAAGCTGCTATCTAATTTTGTCAAAAAAAATGAGTCATAATATAACTTATATACATAAGGAAAAAACAAGAACGTTCCCCATATAGTTTGTCAGGACGCTGTGATGTATATAAATATTTTGAAAAAAATGAAGTTTCTAATGATTATTCAATTTTTTCTTTAGTTGATAAAGTTTTAACAATTACTGATCTTGATCCTATTCGACGTTATTTATCACCGAGTGATCGACCAAAACCAAATTTAAGATATTCATCTATACAAGTAAATATTAATTTTAAAAATTTTTATTTTTATCTTTTTTTCTAATTAGGATTCATTACGTTATCAATATACTACAAATATACCAAAATTAATGACGAATTCACCATCTGATACCGTAGATAGGAAAAAACAAGCACAAATAGTTATTCCTGCAAATGTAAACGATAGATAGTTTTGATACAAAAAACAGAAAATAATTTTTATTTTTTTGTATTAGGTTACTTTCTCCGATTTAGTTATTCAAGTTGTTGCAATATCAGAATCTGTTCGTTTACAACAAGTATTAGCAACATATGGTATTCAAACACAAACACCAAAACAAGTTGAACCAATTTTAATTTGGCCACCAGCAGAATTAGTTAAAGTATGATTTTTATTTTTATTTTTTTTTTGTGTAACAGAATTATTTTATTATATGTTTTAGGCATATGCAAATTTAGGTGCAAATAAAAAACTTGGTTTTAGTGGACGTCCAGATCGACCTATTGGTGTACTTGGTACATGTAAGGTAAAAATATTTATTTTTTAAAATTTAAAATTTTATTCAAAACTTAAAATGTTTTATTTTAGGTCTATAGAATTTGTTCAAAAACTGTTTTAAGTTATCCATTAACATTTGAAACAAATGATTTTTATGTGTCAAATGATATGGCTTTATTATTAGATAATATTCGAGTAAATGTTATTTTGTTTTATTTTTATGAAAGATCAAGAAATAAAATTATCCATTGTTCAATATTTGTTATGTTAATATTTTGAAAGAGATTATACAAATATCAGAAATCGTTGATCAAGTGTAGTTGAATTCAAATATTTCCTTTTTCATTGAGATTTAGTCTTTTCTAGAAAAATTCTTTCTCGTTATCTATTTAGAGTGATTTCGAATTTATAACTAAATGTTGGCGTCTCAAAGGTCGACCAATATATTTGATGATGTTACGTGAACATCATCTTCGGTATAAATTTCTCATTTCTTATATATGTTTTTTTTTTCTTATTAACATGTATTTCAGAGGTCCACAAAAATCGGATCTTCTTGAATTATTAACACAAATTCGTCAAGGAAAAATTTCATCAAATATATTTGTACGATTAGAACGTCTACAGGTATTTTATTAAGTATTAATAAGCGAAAAGAACAAAAACAATCATTTTTGTTTAGACTGCAATATCAAGTGCTTGTGTTGAACATCTAGATTTTTTAAATGATTCAATATGTACAGCTTTAGAATGGCAATCAGTTGCTGTTCATGAACATAAAAATACATCGGAAGTTGGTCGATATAAATCATTAACAGATGTATCAAAAATGCCTATTGTGGTTGAAGATATTGATTATAATAATCATGTATGTAAATGATTTTCATTTATTTTTATTAAGTTTGATGAAAAATGTAGAAAATTTCTTCTAATTCTTGTGTATTTTGCGTAATTAACAAATCGTACGAAGTTATTAATATTTGAATTCTGAATAGATTCTATTGAAAGTTTTTTTTTTTAAAATCTATTTAGGAATTTAAAGATCGACCTGATGATGAATTATGTGAATTTATTAATAATACAGATACATCATTAGGTTCATTAAGAAAACATGCATTAGCTACATATGAATTATATAAACGTGGTGGTCTTGATTGGATGATTCGCGATAATTATCGTGTTAGAAATCATCTTGAACATTTATTAAAAGAAGCAGCAACATGTCAACATTGGTAGATAAAAATGAAATTTAAATTTAAAAATAATTTTGTTTTTTTTAGGGCTGTTATTCGTTTTGTATCTAGTCTTTTACATAAAATCGTCGATAGTTTAGCTCCATCAGTAACACTTTTACTTGTACGAGGAAAAGCAGTAAGTGTCTATATTATATTTTCTTAATTATTAATTTAATTTTTATTTGTTATTTAAGGTTACTCTTGGAGTTTTTGGTCATGAAGAAGCAGTTATTGATAAACCAGTACGTCAAAATATGAATTGATAATTTGTTTTTTTGTATTTCAGTTTCAATTTTTTTTTTGTAGATACGTCCGAACGAAATATTCAATATACTCTACAGTGAGAATGTATTTGGTCATAGTATATTTCATGCTGTTCTTTTGCAAGAATTACTTATTGATGTTTCAGTTTTTATGTCTACATTTCCGGTAGGTTGAAAGTCATCTGTCATTTCAAAAACAAAAACAAAAAACCTTGAATTTTTTTTAGCAACTCTTTAATGGTATTCTTAAATTACGACTCGGGTAAGAAAAATAAAGGTTTTCTAGCCAAAATATGTATAACACTTTATTAATTGTATTTTTATTCTATTATAATTTTTTAAACAAAAAAAAAAAAATTTTTAAGTAGACATTAGCTTTTGAGATGATATTCATAGTTTTACTTAGACCGGATGTCTCATAATAACTAACTTACTTTTGTTGTTAACTTTTAAGAGAGTTGCCAATCATTTGAAATTCTGAAGGTACCGACATACTCTATACGATATTCTATAGGAAAGACTTCCTTTCAGACTGATTTTTCGATAGAAATATTTCAATTGCTCTAATAAACATGTGCATCATTTTGTTGAGTATGTTATTCTACATCCGATGAAACGAAAATTCAGATTTCATAGGATAAGTCTGACATGTGCAAATATTATTTCTAAAAATACTATCAGATATTCGTTCAGCAATTTTTCTTATCAAAAACAAACACACTTTGAACCATGTTAAAGCCGTGAATATATAGAGCAAACAATTCTTCTTTTTTTATGTACAATACTCTTAGCATCAGTCTTGATGATTAGATACTCATACAAATCTTTGTTTGATCTTCAAAAAAATAGAAAATTGAAGTTTGCGAATTCGTAGGTATTAATTTCATGAAGTTTACACGCCGGTTCAGAAAATTTATTCAAAAAAATAAAATTGATAATTTTATAGAAAATGTAATTCTCTATTCAGTATTGAGTTTTCTAGTCTTGGTTATAGAATTGAATATTTCTGAGGAAAGAAACAAGTAAAAAAAACATTTAGCTACCACATTTTGAAGCGAAATATTTTCCTCTATAAAATAAGACTGCTCCAAAAACTAAATGATTATTGGTCCTCAAATTAAAGCATGATTTGTACTGATGCTGATCTTGGCCACGGTTGAGAATTCTGTCGTCATTTCCTCAGGCTACACAAATCATATAGCAGTTATGATAGTTTTGCTTTGCAAGTAAAAAATTCCTCTGTAAAATGTTATGACTGAATATTCTTTAACTTTCTCTTTCCATAAAATGTATCTAATTCTTCAACCGAGATCAGAAAGTCATGTGTTCATCTTCATACTTTACCATATAATTTCACATATGAAAAGCAGTGAGATCTGATTTTCAAAAGTACTTTCGATAAATCCATCGTTAAAAATAGTATAGAGAAATCGTGATCGAATCACACGAATGATTATAAGATGATTCAAAATAAAACATACACTTTGTCTAGATGCTATTTCTTCTTTAAATTTTGTAATCTTATTTTATTCAATAGATGGATTCTTCAAGCAATGAAACTTAGTTTAGAACATTTGAAAAGTGATGTAGAAGATGCTATGGTAAATATTTACCTATTTTGTTTTAAAATAATTTTCTTCTTATATAATATCTTTAAAAAAGACATTAAATACATTATCACCAAATGAAATCAAACAATTACTTTATTATGCTTTAACAAGTGATTTACAACAAGCACCAATACAAGCGTCTGATACTGAACAAAAGTAAATAAAATTCTTTTTTTTTCTGTTTTTAATAAATAAATTTCTTTTGATTTAAAATTAGTTCATCTTTTCAAAAACGTCAAATGGATGGAGCATTATGTCGTGTTCCAGCTGATTTTTTTGAACATGTTTGGTCAATACTTGAACGAACACCTGGTGGAATAAAATTATGTGGTGCTTTTCTTCCACAAGTAAATTTTTATGAATTGTAAAAAAAAATGAATGTTGGGTTTTTTAGCAACCAACATTATCTGATATGACTGATTATGAATTAAATTTTTCATTAAAAATTGACGAAATGCTTAGTCGAATATCTGATCCAGCCTATCGATGTCTTGTTGTTGAAGTAAATTAAATATTCCATGTTTTTTATTTCTTCTATAATTGATAAAATGTTTTAGATATTTGAATTAATAAATGTTTTATTAAAACGTAATGCTGAATTACGTTTTACTCAAACACTTGATGCAGATTATTTGATAAGTGAAGCTGTTAAATTATATCAACAACAAACAAATTCAACAGATCCATTTAAAGATTTCTATAGTCTTCCAATGCAACTTGTGGGTGGGTCAACAGGTTATATGGTTCGAGTTATTATCAACTATTTATTTAATGCAAATACGCAAAAAACTGATAATATCAGTTTAAATGCGGGTACAAATGCCGATATATGCAAAATATCTTGATTATAATATAGTTTAGTGTAGGATTTTTTTATCCACTATTTTATTTTATTTTCTTTTTTCGCATAAATATTATTTAGCTGTAGCATTTTAATTAAACGAATCTCCTCTTTCTCTTTATTTATTTATCAATCAGATATTTTATTCAAGAAAATGGAGAGATCATCTATTTTATTTAAATAAAAATAAAATACTCTGAACAATTTTATTGCAAAATGAATGGCTATAGAAAAATAAATTATTACCATTGTTGGTAATAAACATAAACATTACGATGTACTGAAGTTTTAGAAATAATATTCTTTGAGAATTGATTTATTCCAGCAACGTATTTTATGCTTAAAGAGGTGAATTTCGATGAAATCTTTGTGTAACTTTGAGCAATCTATTGATTTCTAGGTAAAGTATTAGTAAAAATTTTGAAAGCTTCGAGTATTAGCACAAATCGATAATAGAAATATTATGACCTGCTGATTGGTCTGAAGTATTTTCTAAATAGTAGTCTTCTACTGCGAGAGAAAGACTTCGTAAAGAATCATCTGTAGATAATTTATTATAGGTTATAAATCATATCAATTGCAATATATTATTCACAGATATTATCTATTATATCCAATTTCACTGACTGGAGACTAATATAAGTTGTTGCATATTCATATCATTACTTTATTATATCTCGCCATAAAATAATCTACTACTGTCAACGTTGATGCTATTTTGTCTTTACATGGATACTCGTTAATAATTTAAATCAAAACGGTAACGTTTAAAAAGAATAAATGGCAAGAAACAGCGCTGAGAGGAAAATAGGGTAGGGAAAGAAAAAAACCATTCAGAGACGAATTATGTGCGTGCAAATCGGATAAAGTCCTAGGTCTATAAATTAATAGGCAAAACAAGAACAAACAAACTAGAGAAACCGTTTATTGAGTTTATGATTTCTCCGTAGAGAAAGACATTTTTCAAAAAGTTTTCTTATCTAGACATTTTACAAAAATGTTCCCAAACTCGTGTTTTTTGCACACGGGTACATTCTGTACCTCTGATATAACTTATCCTAGTTCGTTAGAACAAATCAGCTTGTGTTCCATATTTAACTCTTTTCTGTCCAGTTTTTAGAGATAAAATCAAAATATGTATCATGTAATATTATTTAAAAGAAACAAAATGAAATAATTGATAAAACGAATGACGTTATATTGACAGATGATATGAACTATTTTCAGTTTTGTTTGTTCAATGAGGTCCTATATTTTACTTCAATACTCATTTGGCACTTTATCTTATCTATTACTCATATCAAATGATTGTTTTGATTATACATTGCTAACTATTATCCATTTCAAAATAGAATGTGCTCCACTGTTTTTCGAATAACTCGAGAATGGAAGCAGCTAGAAACCTGCGGTTTTCACCAATCGAAAGAGGAGACAAAGGCACGTCTTTTTCTTCAATATTGTATAAGATGAAGTCCTTTTAAAACTAATTATCTCTGGGAAACATGGAAAAGAATGCATGAAAGTGACCTGCCATCTAGATGAAATTTTGATTTTGACCTTCGATTTAGATAGAGGGACTTGAGATCTATAGTTCAAGACACAATGCAAACGGTTCTCTTATTGCATTCTAAAGTTGAGCAAATGGAATCATGTATTGACATGCGCAAATAATAGGGAATTTTACTGATTTTTTATTAAGTTTTTGCACTTTTTATCATAATAGCTGGACATTTCGATGAAAACGTAACGAAAAGTAGGAAAGTGCATTGTATCTTAAACTATAAATCTCAAGTCCCTCTATCTAAATCGAAGGTCAAAATCAAAATTTCATCTAGATGGCAGGTCACTTTCATGCATTCTTTTCCATGTTTCCCAGAGATAATTAGTTTTAAAGGACTTCGTCTTATACAATATTGAAGAAAAAGACGTGCCTCTGTCTCCTCTTTCGATTGGTGAAAACCGCAGGTTTCTAGCTGCTTCCATTCTCGAGTTATTCAAAAAACAGTGGAGCACATTCTATTTTGAAATGGATAATAATTTAAGGTAATTAAATAGAGAACATCCGATACTACTAATGCCAAAATCTTGGTATTAGAAACAATTAAAATTGTCATTAACGTATTTTTTATGTTGTTTGCCGATTGTTCTTTTCTTTTTAATTAATTTTTATCTTGTATTAATCATATTTATTTAATAGTCAATAATAATTATAAAAAAATCCTTATTTTTAATCCAATAAATCTTAATATACTCGATGCAAGATACTGAATAACATATGATTCATTATTTGATTGAATAAGAAAACTTTTTATTAGAGGTTGATTTCAATATTCACTTAAAAGTCCTGATTTTTATCTCAACTTCGATCACTGTAAGTATTCATTCCAACAAAAAGAAATAGATTTTATTTTTCTAATAGTAGTTTGAATTTATTTAATGCTCAATTTCATGATTATTCAATATAATTTCATGAATATTAAAAAAAAAGAAATTTCAAAAGGAGCTAATTTATTTTTAATCATTTAAAAATAAAAATAAAATATCATCTGATCAAAGACAAGTATATGATATTTTGGAATAGTTTTTTGAATATGAATTTAAAAAGACAATTTAGTGGGTGTGGGATGTGGCTGTTGCTCTGTTCTTCCATCGCATTCACACCCACATCTTCTAGAAAATGATATAAGAATCAAGAGTTTCATAGCAATCATTCAGTAATGGTCGAGTTCACTTTATAAGTCTGTGTTCCATTGAAAGCGAGAAAGTTATCAAAATTGACATGGTATTCCTTACCCGAAATACTCTCTATTGACAAATGCTTAGCAGTAAACTAATCACTAGTATACTATTTTACTGTGAAATATGTGCTCTTTCATTTTCTTTAGAGAATATAATTTTCGCTTTTGCTTTGGGTAATTGTTGACGCGCTGAATTTTGTTCAACCTTAATTTACAGGCTTTTAAAGGATCGGATCATAACTTTCAAACCCTACTAAATTTTTGAACTCATATTTGGAAAGGATACAAAGTTCCGATTCTAACCCAATATTTTCAAATTTCTGCAAACTCACTTAAAACACTGAATAGTGAATGAATATTTTATCTAATTACTTTTCGATCATCCGTTAATTAACATTTCGAAATAATTATTTAGCATCAAGATTATTTTATTGGGCATGGTTAGAAATTTATTTTGTGCCAAAACATATCACTTGTGAACATATTTATGAAACAGACTAAGTTAACAAACAAAACAACTCTGTTTTTTCATAAACCAAATCCACTTGTTTTCATCATCACACTCTTGGATCTTCAAACAAAAAAAAACACTTTAATCACATTATGCAGTAAATTTGAAATGTCAAATGATAGGTTTTTTTTTTCGTTAATTCAAAAATCTAGAAAAATATTAAAAGATTATTCACGGTGAAGGATGCAAAAAAAAATTTTTTTTTCAATAGCATTTAATTCAAAGCAATTATCGGATTGTCTTTAGCTCGTTTACGAACACAACGTTTAAATTGATCAAATTTTGAGTTCGATACATTACTATCATCATATGTCTATAAAAAAAAAGCAAAAGTCTCATCAATACTTGAAAAATGTATATAAGAAAAACAACCAACAACTGACATGAAAAATACGAGCAAGTCGATCTTTCATTACAGGCATAAATTCGTCATAGCTTCTATACGAAAAAAAAAAACAATTTCATGTGAATATTAAAACAAAGAAAACGATTTACAAATATTGATCCTCATCAATATCGAATATTCGAAAGATAAGAGCAATTATATGATATTCAAGTTCAAAACCCATTGAAATTTTTACTGCTCGTTGGAATTCAGCTAAAAAAATAAACATTTTATTAATATTCTTTAATGAGAGAAATGCTTACCTTGCGAGATTGGTTTATTTGATAATTTATGAAAATACATAACAATACCAAAGTCTTCAAGATTATTAAGAAATGTAGAAAATTGTTTAAATTGTTCAAATGTAATTGCCTATTTTATTAGAAATTTAATTAGATTAATGAATAAAAAACAAAACAACTCTTTGTTTCGTACATTTTGTTGATCACTATGTTTTTTGACTTTTTCGAATATGATTATTTTTGTATCATGATCAAAATTTGTATAGCGTAAAAGAATTTCAGTAAAACTTAAATCTGATATTGTTTTGAAACCATGTGAATATCCGTTAAATTCAATTTCAAGTATTTCCATTTGAAGATTTTCCATAAAACTATATAAAAAAAATCATCTTTTAAAAAACAAAAACCAAAGTTTTTTTTAAATTGTATTTACCGTTTGAATTCTGTATATTTCAATGTATCGTGACCATGTTTACCAAAGAAATGTCTAAGTAATGTTGTATTTGTTTGTTGACTATTATCAGACTATAAAATTAAAATGTTAATTTAATTTAGATTTGTAAAAATTATTTATCAGAAATTATAAATTTATTATTAAGCAAGACAAAATTAGTATCAAGCGAGAAGTATATAGGAGCGATTTGCAATATCACTGCTTGTTCTCTCTTAACATATAATAACAAAATCGTCAGGTCAAAATATTTTAATTTAGAACTTTTTTTTTCGATCATTTTTGTTTCACAAACAATACAATGTGATTACAAATCGCCCATATATCTGTGCATATGCTCCCATTACTTATTGCATAAATACGTACGATATTAGATTATTTTATTAATTGTTTTGTTATTGAATATGTTACACACATGTGAAATCAAACATGTACATATTGAATATAAAGACACTCTTTTTCTTGGTAGATTAATCATGAAAAATTTTAATAAAAGGAGTATATATGAATTACACGCACATTAAAATAATTATTTAGATTTTGAGTTAAATTTGATTTTGATGAAGAATGTTTCTTCGATTGGTGACGTATCCTACATTCATTACACACTACTTTTTCAAACTAAAAAAAAAATAATTATCTATTTAGAAAATAAATATTTTGAAATATACCATAAGAAATTCATGTTTATCAACCAGTTTATTACCTAAATATATAATTAAACTTTTTTTTTCACAACTATACCAAATTCATTTATTCATTTTTGAATTTTATTAATAAAAAAATTCAAACAGAATTATAAAACAAGGAATGAATAAAACAATCCTTGCTTAAAATGGTGAAAGACAAATATCTCAGTTCATTTGTAATTACAAAGAATAGTTTAAAAGTTTATTTAAAGTATTTTATAGTGTATGATATATTCTTTAAAACAGTAGCAAGGTCATTTTGATGTTCTGACAATACTTATAATAATACTTCAAGACCCCTCAAAAGAAGACAAAATCGAAATTGATATAAATTTATGAGAAGATAGCTCGAGATCTGATCTTTTATACACGACATGATTTTTTTATTTGACACCTTCTTCTTTGTCGAAATCTTTAATGATTTCTTTCGTCACCTGCTTGAAAAATATGCTGTTTTCTCTGTTTATCGTGTTTTTGATCACGCATCCCAAAATTCTTGAAGGAGCTTTATTGTAGCCAATTCCTTTTTTGATTTGAAAGAGCATATCAAGTTGTAGTTCCTGGCAGACGCCGGTTTTTTTTTGAATTAAGATTTTTTACTATTATACAAAAAAGCACTTAAATATAGAGACAACTAGTTTTTGAGTTTGTCGAGGTATGAGACTCGTCATCCTTTTTCTCCGCATAAAAAGTAAGAATTTGAAAAACAAAAAGTTCTGCCAGGTATTACAGTCTGACACACTCTTTCAAATAAAGAAAAATTAAGTATATAGAGTGAAGGTTCACTGAGAATCTTCGATTATCAAATGCCATCTCAGCCCCAATATATCCTGACAATTTCATCCGATTTAAATGCATCTTTAAGAGTGAGTGTATGAGAAAGTCAGTCACTCTCGTATATCGACGATAGAGTAATAAGTTAGAATTTCCTGATTATTTTTATATATTGTAGATGATGATGAGCTTAGTAATCTCTGAAATATTCAGCTTGATCTTATCACTTTTTTTGAGATCATTATTCAAAATATCGATCAAATTTTTCATGATAATTATTGAGAAATTTTTTTTAAAGTAAATATAAAATATATTGATAGTCCAAACAGAGGTCTATTTTGTTCTTGTTGAAATTTTGTTAGCAAAATGTCAAAATGAATAAAATAACGTTCTGTTTGGACTATCAATATATTTTATATTTAATAAAAGAAAATTTCTGAATAATTATTATGAAAAATTTTGATCAATATTTTGAATAATGATCCTGGAAAAAGTGATAAGACTGAGTCGAAATTTTCAGAGATTACTAAACTTATCACTATCTACAACGTCGATATGTGAGTTTCTCACATATTGACTCTTAAATATTAATTCTTATTGAATATTTTGAAAAATCTTACCATCTGTATCAAATACAGAAAATGCTATTTCGAATTGTGTAGAAGGTTCTAGATTAATAAATCAATATATTATGAATAAAACTATTTATTTCTTACTTGTTAAAATCACCCAAAGAAATAAATATTCCGCACATGAAATAAGACCTATTAAATAATCAGAAATCAAAAACATCAAAAATATCCAAAATATTACCAGCATCTTCAAGATTTCGAAAAAATCTTTCTGAACCTCGATGTTTTGATGGTGTACTATATAAAATAGCATTAACAATGTCGTCTGTTAATCGTCGACGACCGATACGAGCTAATAGAAAATCAATTAGATTCATAACTAATATGAATTTTTTTGTTCTTACGTCTAGGTCGTTCTGCAACAACTGATTCAAGAAAATCCATTGGTGTCTAAAATAATTTTTATTATTATTAAAGATTAATAAAAAAAACAGAAACGACCATATATATTTCTCCATTATATTCAATCGAGGCAAAATCATGAAAACGTCTTTCATAAATATTTGTAACACTTTTATCTGTTCTATTCAAATCATCTTTGACATTTTCTTCATCATCATTGTCATCGTCAATATCTTTTCTTCGTTGGATCTTAGAATTTTTCGATAATGCTTTTCGTGCATTGCGTCTTTCCTTAAAGAGCAAAAAAAAAAGACGTTATTAATTCAATAAGAAATGAAATTCAACCTACATATTCTGCAGCTTGAATTGTTAATACAGATAATAAATGAGTATTTATTTGAGAATAATCATAATGAGAGAATAAGTAAAATGATGTTATTGATACACTTGTAATAGCAAGTGTTTTCCAATATCTTACAAAGAAATTAGCCATTGTTTATCACATCTAAAAAATAAAAAACAAAAAGAATTGTTTTGATCTTTTTCGATGAACAATTGGAATCGATGCTAAAGTAAAGATGAATGAAATTCGATAATAATTAACTCGTATCAGATTTTTTATTTGCTTTCAACAATCCTTAAAAATCGCATATTGATTACTGTCGAATGTAAAAGTCTCAACACTGATTGAAAGTCTACTAAAAACATTTTTTACTTATCTTACTTCTGAAATACTTCGTAAGCATTGATTCAAATGTAAGATTTTCTTCTTATCGAAGTTATGATGATATCTACATTTTTTATTCACAAAAAAACATTTGAAATAATTTTTATTTTAATATGACTTTCTTAGTAGATATTATCAATCGTATAGCCAATTGATAGTCAGAAAATGTTTTGCAACTTTAAATAATAAATATTTATTTAAGATGAGAACATCTGTTGAGCATAATGGGAATATAAATATTGTAGTAGATAAAATCTAGATTATTTAATGATATGATAAATTGATAATGAATTTGTTAATGATATACTTAACTGCATTTTTATGAGATATTGTTCGAAGAAATTTAATGTCATGAATAAATATTCTATTTTATTAGTTGAAAAACCAAGTAGAGATAAACGAGGGTATAAAATTTTCTAACAAATTCAACAAATATAATCAGATACATCTTTATATCACTTCTAATGGAATTTAAAAGCTTAATCTTTTCTTTGAAGCCTTTATCTGAATGATTTAACTATGAACCAGAAGAAAAACGAATAAATTTAGTAATTTCTTCTACACATCTGCTCATTTAATTTTACTCTGTTTATACCGATAATTTTTCAACATACAAATATGTATTTATAATAAATATAGATCTAAACGAGGCCAAGAAACATTTGATGAGTGTAATATCATATATCTAATCATAATATATCAACTGAAAATAGAAATACTTCAAATATATTCTCTTATTTCACATTATGATTTTATAGGAAATTATAATTCATTCGATCAATTATACGATATTTTTGAGTAATAAACATTAATTTTGAAAGATTGCTATACAGAAATGAACAAAAGTCTTCAATTATTCTCGATCTCAACAACTATAACGCTCGGATGTGTAACAATACTTATGCATATACTTTGTCAGAAATGTAGACCTTATTTGAATGACAAGAAATTGTCTATCACGAAATTTTCGCTATTCACGGTAAGAATCCCATCAACATCGTAAGAAGCTGTCATTAATTTTCTAAAATATCGGTACTCAGAAATGTACAGATCAAGTATAGAATATTCATAAAAATGTCGATCAATTTCAAAGCCATGGCGTATCTTAAATGTTAGTCTGATACTGAACGCTATCTATCGTAAATCAGTTCACGACTATTTCATATATCGATAGAAGGAAACCAAAAATCCAACAGGCATATTATAAATAAAAAAAAGACAGACCATACTTACTTTGTCTTAATTGCCAATTGGTTAGTTATGTGAACAATGAAATTTCCTAAGAAAATCCTCCATATATATTTTGCAGAGGCCTACACGCCAAAAATATTAACCAATCAAATGATAAAACTTTTCATCATCCATATCTACTTATTATTGTTATTTTTTTTTGTACATTCGAAGCTTTCTAAAGATCTCGTGTTTTTTCAGATTTTCCAATAATAACATCAATCATGGTGAAAGTCATGAAAAGTCAAAAAGTAGTCATTGTCTTAGGTGGTCGCTATGCTGGCCGAAAGGCTGTGATTATTAAAGTATAGTTTTTTTTTGTCTTATATTATATTTTCTTACAAAAGTTTTCCTGTTTTTAGCCATATGACGAAGGTAGTACTGAACGAGGTTATAGTCATGCACTTGTTGCTGGTATATCACGTTATCCACGTAAAGTAACAAAACGAATGGGAAAGAAAAAACAAGCACGTCGTAATAAAGTAAAAACATTTGTTAAAGTTGTTAACTATAATCATTTAATGGCTACTCGGTAAATGATTTCTGATATTTATTTTATTAATAAAAAAAACCAAAAAAAAAAAAACTTTATAGATATACGGTTGATATTAACTTTGAAAAAAGTTTAATCAATAAAGATATGTTTCGTGATGCTGGTCTTCGACGAAAAGCTCTTCGAGAAGTAAAAGAAAAATTCGAAGAACGGTAAGAAAAAAAAATTTTTTTGTTAAATCTTTTAGAACTTTTTATTTTCGTTTAATTATAGATACAAAACAGGCAAACATAAATGGTTTTTTCAAAAATTACGATTTTAAACTAATGAGATTGTCATCATCATACAGGAACATTTTTAAACATCATCCGATTTGTTTGTTTTCTGTTTTGATACAAATAAGAAAAAAGAAAAAAAATTTAATAAAATTATAAACAACAACTATATATAGAAAGAATATAAATCGAGATATAAAAACATCAATTGATCATCATTCTCTCTAGATTTTTGAGTATAATGAATATATCATCGCGTCTAAATTTTATTAAACAGTTTCAATTGAAACGTTTATCACATATTATTGATCATTCATTATTATATACTACGTCTACATCATATCATCATCAACAACAACAAGTAAATAATTTATTGCTAAAGAAGAAATTTTATTTTGTTTAATAAATTCTTGCATGTTCATCAACACAAAAAGTTTAATTTTAAAATCAAAGTTAAATAATTTAAGTTAACTCTATTTAATTGCATGCGAAAAGAACTAGTTGTCCTATTTGACAATGTATCAGATTTGCGGAGTAGATTTTTCTTTCATTTGGAAAACTCGAATAACCTGCTGGCATAAAAGAATAAAACAGTTCGTTATAGTTCTTAGATTATTCAGTTTATCCTAAATTGTATTCAATATTTAGAATCAAGAATCGATCAGAATACTATTTCTTCATTTTTCTAGTTCAAATTTTCTAGAAATGAAATATAATTCTCACAGTCAAATTTGAAGAACTGTATTAAATTTCTGACACTGATTTTGTTTACAGAATAATTATAGACATCCATGATTATGATCAATTGACGTAAAAAAATCCATGGATAAAATAAGGCACATATAATATATATTGAAAGTCTGTAAAATACATTTGAACAAGAGAACTCTAAAACTTTATATTACACTTAGATTTTTAAAGAAGTCTTATTCAAAGATAAAACAATATGATTTGAAAAGAACTAGAAAATATTTTCATAATCTTTGGAAAAAGATATCATGAAGATTTGATTTTCTTTTTTTTGTTTTAGTTAATTCTTCAACCAAATATTTATAATATTCAACCTACTACAACATTAATAAAAAATTTAGTCGAAAATAATAGAGTATGTAATTAATCAAAATGGTTTTATTTTATTTTTTTGATATTCTTTTAGCCATTTCGGAAATGGTTCAATATTGTTCTGCGTTCATTATCTTTAAACAATAGAGAATTTCTAAGTAAAAACTCAAGATTTTCATTTTTTGATAGACAATTATATTACATATATATATAGTGATGTCATCAATTAAAAATGATCCACGGAATTATCCACCAGAACCTGGAAGTGGAAGAGAAAATTTATCTAATGATCAAAGTTCATCGACAGATAGTATAAAAAATCGTTTTTTTTTATTTATCTAAATATTCTATAGAATCTTGTTCTTCTTAGGTAATGACCCGAATAGACAACAACAACAACCACCATTTCCTCCTCCGATCAATCCTCGAATATTACTTACTGTTTTTCTTGTATCTATGATCTTAACATATATAACTTCAAGTCGAGAAAAACAACGTGAAGCTAGTGGTCTCACTCAGGGTTATATATCGTGGAATGAATTTGTTCAAGATATGTTATCTAAAGGAGAAGTTAGTCGAATATATTGATTATAAAAAAAAAGACGTATTTTTTTAATTTTGTACAAAAAAACAATTAGGTTGAAGAAGTTATTATACACATTGAAGAAGAACTTGCTTATATAAAACTACATCCACAACCTGTTATAAAAGGACGAAAGGTAGGATAATAATATTTATTTATTTATTTATTTTGTTTTGAAAAAAAATATTTTATTTTAGCTTTTCGATCGAGATACATTTGCTATGAAAATAAGTAATGTTGATAAATTTGAAGAAAAATTACGAAAAGTTGAATCCGATTTAAACATTGATCCCGCACGTCGAATATTAGTCAGTTATACACGAAATAGGTTTGAAAATATCAATGTATCTCAATTGTGGGCATTCTTTTTTTTTTCGATATCATTTCTATTCGATTAGAGAATATCTTTTTTCTCCCTGTTAATAAATCATATATCAATAGAAATCAATAAGAAATTTCTACTGAAGTTACTTTCACTTTCCTAACAATAAAAAGATGCGATATGGAATGCTGCCTAGCGGCAGAGTTCGTGCGCCCAATTGCTTGAGTTTCCTATACACACTAACTCATCACAAAAGCAGATGAGTGTTACAACGTAGTCAGCATACTATCGCACGGATGATTTGAGACTGGTGATACTGAGATTTTCACGAGGGAACCTTTTCAGGAAACCTGTTCCCATTTTAATGATTTTTTGCTTATAGATATGACAGAGTGTTCTAGTGAAAAGTCATAAAGGATTAGGGTTCCTATTGAGATTTGGCTAAGCTATCGAGTTTTTAATTCTGTTGGTCGGATATTTATGAAGAAAAGAGAATGCTCACAATTGAAAATAATTATAAAATTAAATATTTGAATATGTTTTGTGTTTAATAGTCAATGGCCAGCTGTTATTTTTTTCCTTTCAACTCTTTTACTTCTATTTGCTTTTATAAAATCTCGTGTTAAAATGAATTTTGCTAATCCAATGGATATGATGGTATGTTTATATTTCGTAAATTAAATTGTTTTCTTTTTTTTTCTAATTATTTCAATCAATAGACAAAAGCAAAATTTACTATGGTTGATCCACATATAAAAGTAAATATACCAAAAATTTCATTTCGTGATGTTGCTGGTATGCAAGAAGCTAAACAAGAAGTTATGGAATTTGTTGAATATATCAAATCACCACAAAAATTTGCTGTATGCAAAATAATGCTTTTCTTTATTTCAAAAAAAAACATTTTCTGCTTGAAATTATTTAGGCATTAGGAGCAAAAGTTCCAAAAGGTGCTTTACTTCTTGGTCCACCAGGTATTGGTAAGACATTATTAGCTAAAGCAGTTGCTGCTGAAGCTGGTGTACCATTTCTTTCAATGGCTGGATCAGAATTTGTTGAAGTTATTGGTGGTAAGCAAAATCAAGGGGAAAAAACCTTTTTGTTTTCTAATTCGATTTCTACAGGTCTCGGAGCTGCTCGTGTTCGAGATTTATTTCGAGAAGCACGTAAACGATCGCCATGTATCATATATATAGATGAAATCGATGCTATTGGCAAAAAAAGACGTGGAGAGTACGAAAAATAATCATTTATTTGCAACAAAAAGATTTTAACTTAACTTTTTTTCTTTTTTAATTATAGAAATAAATCGAGTTTTGTATCAAGTGGTGAAGAAGAACATACATTAAATCAATGTAATCTAATCAATTTATTATTTTATTTATATTTTATTTCTGCTTCTTTTTGTTTCTAGTATTAGTTGAAATGGATGGTCTTGAATCGAAATCTAATGTAGTCATGCTTGCATCAACAAATCGTCCAGATGTTCTTGATAAAGTTATTTGAAATAAATCTTTTTTTTCTGTTTTTTATTTTTCTTAAAATTTTATTTCTAGGCATTACTTCGACCAGGTCGTTTTGATCGACATATACTTATTGATTATCCAACATTACCTGAACGTATTGAAATTTTAGAAGTTTATTTAAAAAAACTTAAATTAGAAAAAGATATTAAATTTTATTCAACACGTTTAGCACAATTAACACCAGGAATGAGTGGTATGATTTATAATAAATAACTTAAAAACAACAAAAAAAGAAACACTTTTTTTAAATATATAGGTGCTGATTTAGCGAATATATGTAATGAAGCTGCATTACATGCTGCACGTGAAGGAAAAAAAGTTATTGGACGACATGATTTTGAAATAGCTGTTGAACGTGTTATTGCTGGTGCAGCTAAAAAAGCAAATACGATGGCACCAACAGAAAAACATACGGTAGCTTATCATGAAAGTGGTCATGTTCTTACTGGTTGGTTATTAAAAACAACTTGTTTACCATTAAAAGTAACAATTGTACCAAGAACTGGACCAGCTCTTGGTTTTGCACAATATATGCCGAAAGATAAAAAATTATTACATGAAGAAGAAGTAAAATAACAATGGATAAAATTCAAAGATTTTATTCTTATTTTTATTTATTGTTTTTTTAGTTTGATGAAGATTTATGTGTTATGTTAGGTGGTCGAGCTGCAGAACAAATTGTATTTAATAAAACATCAACAGGGTTAATATTCTATTTGAAATAAATATGAAATAAAAAAAATTGAAAATATTATTTTTTATTTATTTATTTTTTGTAGAGCTCAAGATGATTTAAAACGAGCAACAAAATTAGCTTATGCTCAAATAAAACAATATGGTATGAGTAAAACAATTGGATTGATTTCTTTTCCTGTTGATCAACAAAATCCACAGAATGATAATTTTGGTGTTAAACCATATAGTAAACGATTACAACGTTTAATGGATGAGGTAATGTTCTATTAAGAATACATATGTATATTATAGAACTGATAAAATAAATTGATACTTATTAATGAAACTGTTAGTGTAATCCTTATGGGAATTAAAATGTGAAACACGACATAGTTACTGAACTTAATCACAAAGAGATAACACATTTCTTCATCATCTTTTTTTGCTTAATCCTCTAGACATGCAATAAGGGAATAGTTCATATAGTATAACGGCATGTTATTGATGTATGGTCTTTAATCATATATCAACAACATTTATCATGGTCTATAACACGAATGTGGGAGGAGCGTTGCTAAGGCGTTTGTCACGATCTATGACATTTCAATGTTTGTATCTATTACAGTGTGTACGTGTGATGAAAGACAGACCTTGTTAAAGATGTCTGTCATGCCGTTAATGTATCATTGCTAAGATGTCTGTGTGCGAGGTTTAAATTTGTATTTCTATACTTCAACATTTGTTTTAGATTATGTCTCACAAAACTTAATTAAAAAGTTTCGATCTAATTTTAATTAATGTTGTTTTGAAATAGTCTTTATCAGATTAAAATAGAAGTCAAATCATATGATGAGAAATATTGAGCAAAAGAATATATTCAATGTAAATACTTTGATTTATGCATCTTAGAGAAAATGACCTATTAAAATTGATAACGTACTTTTGTTATACTGATTGACCTTGCCTAAACAAAAGAGAATATGGCAATATTCAGATAAATATCAATGAGTTGATAAATCTATTGTGAATTATCTTCATATCCGATGTGTTTTAAATCAAGTTTTTTTTCGTTTTGAAGTTCTACATTCAATGACTATCATACTTACTAAATCAGATTTATTTTTTATGATTATCGTTTTGTTACTTTGATTTTTAGGAAGCAAAACAACGTCTTGCTAATGCTTTTAAACGTAGTGAAAAATTAATAACTGAAAACCGAGCTAAACTCGATATTGTATGTGAATATTATTCATTAAAGAAAATTTTATTTATCAAAACAAAAAAAAAACAAACGATTTCGTTTTAGTTAGCAGAGGAATTATTAAAACGTGAAACACTTAATTATGATGATATTGTTAGACTTATTGGCCCTCCACCATATCCTGATAAACAAAAAATGGATATTATCGAATGGGATGATGCAGGTTTGAGATTAAATTAAAGTTCTCTTGTTTTTTTTTAAATTATTTTTCTTTATATTTGTTTGATTAGTTTCAACACCAAAACCGTCGATTCTTCCACCGACACCTGAATCATTAGGTGGTACAGGAAAAGGTACAGCGGGTGAGGGACCACCTTCCGAACGAGAAAATACTCATTTTACATCGTAAAAAAATGGAGCAACATTAGTAATTCTTTTTTTTGTGTATCTTACTTTTGTTGTTTTTTTTTTCTTCTTGCACATAAATATAATAATAAAGAAACGCAATTCGCAGTTTGAAAAGAAGACGATAAGAATAAAGAAAAAAGAGGTCTATTAAAGATACGAAATAAAAATCATGTATTATTCTGATCCAATTTTAATTATTATTGGTACATTTGTACTTCATCAATCACTATTCTGGATTGTTAATGGTATTATATTACTTTTAACGTATATTATTTATCCAAATCGTTCATTGAAATATAAAATTCAAAAGGTTGTTTTAATAAATTAACTTTAGGATCATATTGTTGTTGTTTTTTTTTCGTACAGGATATTCATTTAGATTCAGAATCAGTTAAAGAATGTGTAAAAACAGTATTAATTAATCAATTATGTGTCCTTTTTCCTTGTCTTATATTAATTTGTCCATTATTCATGCATTTGAATCTTCGATGGCACATACCATTTCCTCCATGGTATCATATTCATTGAAAGACGGTGTATTTGCATTGACAGATTTTCTTTATTTTTTTATAGGTATCGAATTTTATCCGAATTACTTTGTTTTATTGGTGTAACTGAAATCTTCTTCTATTACAGTCATCTTACGCTTGTAAAAATGAAAAAAAAAATAATTAACAATTTTGGTATAGTTAATAAAATATGTATTTTTCTTTTTTGCATAGCATACATCATATATATATGAATATGTACATAAAAAACATCATCGATTTCGAGCGCCAATTGGTATGGCATGTGAATATGCACATCCGATTGAATTTCTTATATCTAATATTGGTCCTGTTATTGCTGGTCCATTAATATTTCAATCACATTTGTTAACCACATGGTTATGGCTTAGCTTCGCTCTTTTGGGCACAATAAATCATCATTCCGGATACAAATTGCCAGGAATATTAGGAAGTGGTCTATCTAATCCAACTTTTCACGATTTTCATCATGCACAATTTACAAATAATTTTGGTCTGTTAGGTATACTAGATCGGCTTCATGGAACCGATAAAGCATGGCGAGCAAAGAAACTCAAAGAACAACAATTAAAAAATAAAGAATAGAGAGAGAGAGTGAAAGGAAGAAATAACACAGTGTTATTCTATTGTGCATTTGTTTTTTCCTTTCCTCTTGTTTGTAATATTTTAATCATTGATTGTAAATAATAATTATATGTATATACGTGTAATTATTTTGATAAACTCGAAGAAAAACAAAACACGTTCTTGAAAAATAAAAATCATAATTTGGTTAATATCGATAATGATGCTTATTTTTATGCATTGAAAAAAAAATAGCATAAACATTTTTTATTTCTTTGTCTGCCATTTTTTTTTGTTAACTACAGAAAAATGAAGATACACGAGCATAGAGGAAACATAAAAATTGCATACCGGTTGTTTATATAGAGTTTGTTCAATAGAAAGAAAGGGGAGCGCCGCAAGAAAAAACATGAACAATAAAGAAAAAAAGAAATAAAATACAGACAATTAACCGCGATAAAAGACAAATTCATTATAATGTAACCAACGATTTTCTTCACTGTCAGTTTGTTTGCCAATTTCACTAGTTGAACTACTACATCCACTTGCTGCACAACCAACCTTGATAAAAAAAAAAAATATAAATAATAATATATTATTCTATTCGAGCAGAAAGAGAAAATTGTATTTTCTTATTGATTTACCATTAAAAATGATGCTTCACCAAGCATATCAAAAGCTTGTTCAAGAAAGGTATGTTTAAGAAAAAAACGAGATGTATATCGATCTGTTTGACCATGATCAGGATCTCGAGATTCATTTAATGTTTCGCCAAATACTTCACGACAAAGATGTACACGACCACAAACAAGTATACGTGATATTTTTCGAAATTTAACATCAGCTAAACCATCACGACCAAAGGCTATACAAATATTTATATAGAAATAGAATAATTTTTTTTTTGTTTTTTAAAAATTATACTTTACCAAAAGTGCCTCGATATCCAACAACAATATATCCACTATTAGAGCGAGGACCAGAATTTGAACCAATTGATGGTGTAATTGGAATCATAGTTGTAGTAGCTCCTATTGTTGTATTATTATTCATATGTTCATGTGTATATTTTACATTTGAACTTGTATTTGGATGACTTTGTGTTAATGCTCTACTCATACTATCAAGTCGATAGTAATCAGCTTCTATTATAAGACGCTCACGTTCAGCAAAATTTTCTGGCAAAGATAATTTTTTATTCCGTAAATAATCAAGTATGTAACGAAAGAGAACACCATCTCGATCGATAAATATACGATTTTTGGTATCACGTCCAAATATTGTCCTAATTTCAGCTGTATTTAATGTTGATATAACAGCAAGTGGTGATTCAGGTTCAGCTTGTTGTAATGTACCTAATGTTGTTGCATATGTTACACCACCTACGTTTAATTCAATAACATCGAGATGATTTGTTTCTGTATTCATTATGCTTAAAAATTCATAATCATTATTATTAACTAAAATCAAAATTAAATATAATTATTTATGAAAGTTTTTACAATTTATAATAAGCAATCTAAAAGAAAGACTTCGTGTTTTCATACATTAGTTCGATGAAACTATTATCTTTTCTATCTGATAAAGTAAAATTAACTATGAAATCCCATGGATACTAAACGGATTGAAAAGTACAATGTTGTTATATTCCAAAGTGAATTTAATGGATTTGTTTTTTTTTATATGTGATACAGGCAATAAGCATCGTACTTATCGTTCACGATTTTAATGTTGACTGTGACAAGCTCTCAGCTACCATTCCTTTTTACTATTACAGAGTCACGCATACTAACTGTCATATTGAATAATGATTACTATTTGTTTTCATCTGATTTGTTTTAGAGTTTATGCAAAACTATTGTGACATGTTCAGTAAGATTAAAATCATGATAGCCTAGTAGTAACAATTCATTTATTTTGTTTATTTTTCATAGAAAGAAAAAATGGTTTATAAAAAAAGAAACGAGACAAGAACTATACACTCGATTTCTTACTTTGATAATAATCTAAAAAAGGTAATTATCACTTTTTTTGTTTATATATTTCTCAAATATCTCTTATGTCAGCAAGAAACGATGATGACGACGATATATCTATATATATTTATATATATATATATATATATATAAATCTAAAAAAGCTGTCAACGCTAGTGATAATAATATGATGTTGCTAAAGAAAAGGAAAGTAAGAATTCGTAGAGACACACGGCAGATCTGAAGAATATAAAAAGAAGAAGAAACTTTCTTCTCGTCTTTCTATATGTTTTTTCTTTCTCACGGAAGCAAAAAAAAAATGAGGACTTTTTCCACATATGCATGTGTTTTCTGTGTTAGCATAGTTAGTATTGCTATGAAAAGAAGTATGAGTAGTAGAGAACAAAGAAAATAAGAAATAGTCATGGTAATGTGGAAAAGAACGGAAGTGATTTTGAGATAAAGTGAATTCCTACCGTTTGTTTTCATTATCATTTCCTACTAGACTTCTCATTGTCACAAGAATGAGTGATTGATCGATCGAGCAAACGACTGAATGAGTAAATGAGTGCGTGAGTGACAAAGCAAACGAACATGTAAGCGAACGAAAACAACTAAGTATTCCATTGTCTTTCCTCTTCTTTTCTTTTTGCTACTTCTTTATCGATTGGTCGTAAAAGCTAAGATATACTGTTGTTTAACTCTGTCAAAAGCCTGAGGCAATATATACTGACAAGTTCGTTGCATACGTTACAATGACAATTCAATAAAATTTTCGTTTAGACAGACAGATAAAACAATATAGACTAATGAACATTGCTCGTCATCTTCTTTTTGTTTACTTCGTTACATAAATAAGCAAATAATAAAAAAGAATGGAATAGAAAAATTTTTTTTTTGGTAATAATTTGACCTACGGAAGACTATTCAATTATTTACTAGAAAAACAAACGATTAGTAACAAAACAAAAAAAAATTGTCAAGTACACTATGCGTCAATGACAAAACATAAAATTTAGTTAATTATTTTATTTGTATGTAATCAAAGAGAGAAAAAAACAACTCTAATCTATAAACAATAACAACACAACGTCATGTTTGAGTAAAATAGAGAAAGAAAATCTTTTGTAAAAGACTTCTTATCTAAATTGAAGTACGCAGCTTAGCAAGAAATATATATATATATATAAAGAAAAAAAAATAGATAATACTATGTGTCGTACACATGTAAAAAAATACTAACAAAACTGATGATAATAGTTTATGTTTTTCAATTATTTATCTTTGACTCGTACATCCATCTACATGTTTATATGCCGTTTATTTTCTGATATTCTGCCATTGGGACAATTGACACGTGTCGACAATGATCTATTCGCTATAGGATAGCAATCATTTTGTCTGTCGTCTGTTAAATTATCAAGCAGAAATCATTGTTAGTATATTTATGTGTACTCTGTGAAAACTAAATCACATGCATGTAAAAAAAAACGTCTAGTGCACTTGTCTTGATATAGTTATCTTAAAGATTTCTAGCTATGTCTCTATCTTTTTTGTCATTGTCTTTTGCCTTTGATTCCTCATGAGATCTTTCTAACGACGACAAGGATCTGTCTCATCTATCATCAAAAATAGAATGTCGACCATACGCATATACATACGTTCAAAATTGCAAAATGAATTAGTAAAAAATTGACTGATTAATTGAGTGACATTTCTTTCTCTTTTCTTTTCTCGTTAATTTCGTTTAGATTTCTTCGTTCTAGGAAAAAAAAAGAACAGATTCGAATACTAATAACAAAGAAATAGAGAAAGAAAAAAGAACAGATAGCTGGAAACTCAAAGAAGAAAGGCAAAGGAAAAAAACAAGAAGCAATCAAGTGAGAAAAAATAATGAAGACATATTGTAGAAAAAACACAACTCAATCGTCGTTATTTTGATAGGCAGAAACAAGTATGAGAAAGACAGACAGTGTGGGTGGACATTAGTTCTACAATTAGTACTTCGTATTTTCAACTATCTCATACATTTCCTAGCAAGTGGATCATTTTATCACCACATCCATTATTTTACACTTAAATGAGAGAGAAGAGAAAGTCGGCTTCATAAGAAGATGCTTATAATCGGCATAATATATTATAATTTTAGTTCTTTTTCAGCTTATACGCATCCTATATGCACATTAGTTAATACAGTAATAGTATGCATCATTGAAAAAATGTGTGTGTAATCTGAAGAAATATCTAACTTTTCAAAGATATCTATAAACATGAAAAAAAAACAAACAAATCTTCATTGCAAATTTTCAACTATAGACAATAGTGATCTGATTAATGAATTTTGAAAACAATATTATATTTACTTTTCATCTTTTTTCTTTGAAAGATACCGGATGTTTTGTAAATTTAGTATGGTAATTCAACGCATTTTGTCTATATAACATCAATATTATTCAAAATTTAACTTAATGTCATATTATAAAACAAAAAATAAATTAATTTGGTTTTTTTTCCATATTTGACATATATGCTTATTAATTTTGTTTTCTTTGAAGTTATCTCTGGACAAATATCGTAATATTTTCTATTTTCAATTCCAAGAAAAATTAATCAATAAAAATGCGTACTCGTTCTCATTTGATATATCATTAATGATAACAAGAAAAACAAAGATTTATAGAAATATAATTGACTATTATTATCTAGCATACAATCTTTCAAGTCATCTATTTATTAATCAAGGACAAATTGTTTGCATCATGTAAGCAACGATCTAGCTCGATGATCAAATACAAACAAGCGATGTCAAACATGACATACACATACATCTAATAATACCATACGGTCTTCTCTATCTCTCAGTGTATTATCTAAGAAGCTCGAAGCTGTGTTTTTATATGTATGATAAACAAAAGGTCGAACAAGTGTTGAAAACAAAATTTGATTGTGTATATGATTTGTTTATCTATATATATATAATTTAATAAATAAATTCTATAGAATAATCTCATGAGATATAGATTGTAAGGTAAAACGAATTAATGC